TTATTTAGCCAAAGGGTAGCCCCCTCCACTAAGATGCCCTGAAGAGTCGCCTTGCCACAAGTAAGGCCGAGAAGAGAGGCGGGCGCAGCTGGCGGCGCGGCGGAGGCTCCGCGAGAGAGCAGGGGCCCAGCTGGGGGGCGCACGCGCACGCGCGCACGCACGCACGCACACGCGCCTGTCGTCCCCGCGGAAAGGACCCGCTAGTGCTGGCCCCACGCCACCCAAACTGGGCTTTGAGGCGTTGGTGCCCTGCGCTGTGTGCACTAGGGCCCCGACCCCGCCGGCCGCCCAGGCTTCTCCCTGCTCCACCAACATTGCTTAGGAATCTCCACAGAGAAGGCCCCTCTCCACTCCCCAACTAGCAGCCTGAGAGCCAGGGGGAAGACGTGGACCTCTGGGGGCTCCTCCTCCTGGTGCAGGTGCCAGTCCTTTGGCAGGAGCTTCTGCCCTTCTGCAAGTGGGCCAACTGGTCCAGCCTCCTGGTCCCACTGGAAGCATACCTTGCCCTGAAGAGTGGATCAGATAAGAGGCCCTACATAGTGAATTCTAAGCGAAAACAACATGATAACAAGCAAAGGGAGCCGCCTACCCACCTTGACTTCCTCAAACCTGCCTCAATAATTAAGAAAAAGCAGAATTAATATTGAAGCAGCAGAGGTGGAAAAATGAGCTTCAAACCCCAGAGAAAGAAGCCCTATGTTTAGTAACTAAGCTCTTGCCCACAGGTGACTGGGGCGGATACCACTAAAGCCCACTCTCCCCGGGTCCGCAGTCCACAGCCACACAAGCTGAGGCCCAGGTTCCTTGGCCTCACATCCTGTACACACCCTCCCTTGGGGAGCAAGGGCAAGGAAGGGGGCCGGCCCTCCAGGAGAAAGCAAGGGGAGGGACCAAGACACGGAGGTGGAGACCGCAGCTGAGTGTGGTGGAGGGTGTGTGAAAGGCAGTATCAGTGCAGTTCACTGGTGAGAAGTGAGGTGATGTCTGAGTGCGAGGCGTGTGTGTTCCTCCGTGTACGTGCCTGTGTGTGGGCAAGTCCATGTGAGCACTGACACGTGTACTCCTTGAGCGCTCTCGTGTCTGTGTGTGTGTGCACGCGTGTGGAAAATGCTCTGGGTCCTTGATAGCTAAAGGACTTGTCTCCACACACCCGCCTCCAGCGTGCCCCACTGCCCTTGAGGATCCCGTGTTGACCTTTTCACTCAGTGGCGCCCACTTCAGGCAAAACCGCTATTTGAGGTGAGAGCTGCACCAACTCTGATTGGGTCTTCTGCCCTCACCTTGCTGCCTTAATCCTTAGTCCTGCTGCCTGCCTTGGTTGAAAGACCCTCTCCCATCTGAATCCCTAGCCAGAAGGCAAAGGGAAGGTGGTGCCGCGCCAGGAAGTGCCTTTGGCCAGCTATTCACTTGAAATCAGCCACAGGCACTCCTCTCAGTAATTCTGTGAGTTACTCTGGATCAGGAAAAATGCAGGAACGATCAAGCCCATGTGCCTGCTTTCTAGCGGGAAATCGATTCATATCATTCAGCAAACAGATTTGTCCACCTTCCATGTGCCAGGCATGGAGGACCCAAACATGGACAAAGTCGATGACAAAAGCAATGTACCAAACTGAATCGTGTCTCTTCACTGGCTAGAATGTTCCAGGGACCTTGTTTTCCCACTGCAAGTCACCTCTGTGATGTCCTTGGCAGGGGTGGAGGGTGGCTCCTCACCAGCAGCCTCTAGCTGGCACCTTTCTGTGAATGCTCACTAGCCTTTTAGGTCCCAAAAATGGTTCATAGAAGATCAGAGATCTCCGACTTGTCTCCTCGCAATGTCACCCACACAGCAGAGTTCTGATACTAAGGTCGTAACCTCCACAGTGCTCTACGTTTGTTGTGGCCATCCGGCGCTGCTCAGAGAACGAGATTCCCTAGGACTGGATATCATACAAGGAAAATGTGAGGACCAGCTAAAATGGGCACCTACCTTCTGAGGATATGGATCACAAACACAAGTTGGGGATGATGTGGGCATCTCTGAACATGAGTTAGAAGCCAAGACTTCGTAGAGGCTGCTGCCATCAGGCAGAGGCAAACATGGCAGTATTACACAGCTCTGAGGATGAACTTAGCCTAAAATAGACATACTCTCACACTCCACCCCTTGTGTTGAGATCTGAAGATCTATGATTTTCTCTATTGGCTTCATGTTCTCCAACCCCATCATTCTCCTGGATCCTAAGAGGGCTGTGGTTTAATGGTTGAATATTTTATACTTGCTTGAATTTTTCATAAGTTTTCCCTCTAGACAGACTCCACAGCTGATGCCCACTCCAAGCCTCTGGGTTCAGCCTGGTGACACATGTATTAATGATCCTGACTTGGCAGACAAAGTCCGTTTGGGAAATGTAGATTATCATTTGCTCCTATCTGAGAAGAGGCAGAGAGCTTGGAATTCAAACAGATCTTCTGCCTTCCTGCTTATGGCTCTTCCTAATACCCACGCTGCCCTTCAGGGCAGAAATAGTGCAATTCCAGATTGTTCGTGGTCCAAAGAACAAACTACACATTTTTATAAGCCTATGGAAATGTTATGCTCGTCATGCACCAGTTGAATCTCACCACTGGCCAAATGCCGCAGCACCCTGGAAGGCGTCTAATGCACCCCGCAGCCTTTAAGATCCAAGACAGTCTTAGAAAAAGTCCAAAATCAGGTTATTGCCATAAAGCTGTTCATAAAAGGAATGTATTGAACATTCTTCTTCCAAAGTTCCTAGCCCCACGGATCTCTTAAAAGCCTGCAAATGGACACGTGGAAAATCAGCGACTGATTATAACTTATTGGAAAGCAGCTTGAAGACCACCTGAACATTTCTTTCCTATAAGAGGAGCTCCTTAGGGCTGGTGGCAAGCACGGATTTCCTGTTGTCAGAGCACCATCTACTGGTCACTTGATACATCACAGTGAGCACAGTACTTGTCAGCCCAGCTTCCCCCTATACCTCACCGCGGAGCTCTGCCTCACCAGCTGACCCCTCCAGCTAACCTGTTGTCATCAGCGCTCCACGCCTTTGTTGAGGTCCAGACCCCAAATGTGACCCCAGTACATCGGTCCACCTTGAGTAACAGCAGTGCAGCCCTGCGTATTGGACACAGGTATCGCCATATCACATACAACAGAAGTTAAGAAGGGGTAGCCAAATGATTTTGTTGCAAGCATGAGCCTGCAAGCTCCCAGGATGGGAGTTCCACGGGAGCGAAGAAACACATAAAACATGTTCCTGGACTGTTAATCCCACGCCCCTCAGCCATCTGACATGCAAGCAGGAGCTGCAAAGGGGAGGAAACAGAGTGGCTACACTCCCTCCAGACCAGGCAGGCCACAGCAGCCTGATGAAGACAGACAGATGGGGGTGGCAAGACTGGCAAAGCTCTTTGCTTCTTCCCCTCTTTCATACAGCTCTTCTCCTAGCTGTCCGGCTAGGAGCCATCTTCATATGAGACGCTGGCATTTTTGTGTCTCATCCAACAAGCATGTGCACCCTCCCACCAGCCCTGCACCCTCGTTCCAACCCCTCTGCTAGTTAGATTCAGTTAGTTTATACTAAAGCTATCAGAACCCCTTTTGTTCTATTGCTCCCCACCACCCATTAAGCTTTTCCAAGAAATAGACTCTCTTATGCAAAACAGAGCTCTAAGGAACATAATGCAGAGAGGATTT